AATAAAAGGTTATTCGAATTGCACCAAAATTTGAGAGTAAATAAAGGATGGTATGTTGAACAACTTTACTTAGTAAGAAACGTTAGGTTTACTTGAAAAAAAAACCTGGTTCCTTGTAATATGTTCAATTCGTCAAAATACCCACATTCGTCAAAATACCCTCACTTACCTTATATGCAATACTGTTTACAATCTACAATAATACGGTATTTTACTTATTGTATTATCTGTTATGATACAACCATAGTAAATATTTGGATAAATTGTTTAGATTGATTGGTGTTAATCTGCATTACGTAAAGTTAAATTAAAGTAAGGTTAGGGTAATAAAGCAAAATTATAAAGAACACGAAAAAAGTAAATTTATTCATAATTCAGTCGATCATGATCATCAAAACCTGGATATGACCGAGTTAAGATATAAAAGCATATAATTTCGGAAGTAGGCTAAAAATTTAAAAGGGTAAGAAGGCTAAATGTTAGTATTGGATTGGATAAACAGTACTGTACATTATAATCTGTCGTGGTTAATATTTACAGATATTCTAGAATTACAGGATTAGATAATTCCAACACCAATAACGATGACGTTTTTTTTTATGGGGGAGGCTTGTATATACATATGTTTGGAATACGTAAAGATTCCATGATAAGCTTAATATGTAATATAATGGGCAAAAAATAAATTTAAAGATGCTTTTTTATATGCGGGCTAAACGAGATTTATGTGGTTAAACGACTTTTATTTGGAAATAGTCTAGCCCAATAGTCTCCTAAGACAATCGATAATAATTAATCAGTTCTGCATATGATCGATCAATAATAAAGAAGGAATGGTTTAATGCATAGAAATTGTACCGGGTACGTATAACGAAATGAAGACAGTACCTGGATCCATAAATTACTGGGGTGTACAAAATAGTGCCGTATTGTAGATCGACGATAGTTTAAATAGTAAAAACATATAACGTTCAAACTGCATATAGTTCATTATAAGTAATAACGCTCTTTTTTATTGTCCGGACGTAGTTAGGGACTCAAAGTGATACCAAAATTCTCGTTTTTGATATGTCGAAAGCGTAGCTATTGCATATCGTGACACAATATGCAAAAATTACGGTTTTGATGATTTCATTAATAATGAATAATAATAAATCAAAAACGAGAATTTTGGTATCACTTCGCTATGCTCCAGACAATACAAATAAAAATAAAAAAGCGGTATTACTTTAAAAAAGCACATTATGATGAACCCTGACAAATATAATTTTATTTGTGTAGGATTGCAGATTCAAAATTTATTGCAGTTTGAAGATTATATGTACACCCTAATAATTAATAATTTCGGAGCACGGGACATTACAAAATTTTATTATGATAACCAAAAGGATTATGTTTAAAATTACTATACGTATAATATATATATATATATCAGTATTTTAGGGTGTTGTACGTAACATGGGGACGGAACAGAACAAAAAGAGCTTTAGTTATTGAAAATGTACAAAACTGGGTTGAACAAAAACCTATTTCAATTTCTTGAAAAGTATAATCGCCTGCACCAAGATTTATTTGGTACATGCACTTTATTACAAAATTGGGTTATTACAAAATTGGGTTTTATAATCATGTGCATACAAAAAAAAAATAATGATAAAAACGCCCTTACGAACATAGAAATATTGCACGGAGTTAATTACTAGTAAATCTGAACAAGAAATCAAATTTTACTTAATAGTAAATGTAAATGGTATTCCTCCGAAAATAATCACCCTTTTTTGCGTATAATTCTGAGTAATGCGGGCCGGGCCAAGGATAGGATACATATTTTCGGAAAGAATACGGAAAGAATACAGTAATAATATGGAGAGCTTACAATTATATTTACATCTATTGTTATCTATTGTTATCTATTGTTAGTGTTATTAAAATTTTGATACGTACAGTACAATACGTAAATAGAAAAATTTACAGGTTTTCATCAAAATCTTACGTATACGTACGTAATATTCATTCGAAGAGACTATTAAGAAAATTTTGATTTATAATTAAGCATATAAACAGTACTATTTGTCATTCATTCTGAATTGACATTAAACAATATTCATATATTCATTTCATATTCATTTCATATTCATTTAGTATTCATTTAGTATTCATTTAGTATTCATTTCAGAATAAGATTATTCCGTAGGAGTCATTATGTATCTGTATCAGTACTAACTTCATCTGATGAAAAAATACCACCTATTTCTTTCCGTTTCGTTCTTATGAAATATGAAGGAAATGATTTACGATTTCATCATAGGTCAATTACTCAGCTAAGCCCAAAAACAACCAGACTAGCCATAAACGAATGCTAATCTGCTTAGGGTATAGACAAATTTATCGTATATGTTTCCTGTTTGTGCACAATAAGTGTAAATCAAGCCACGAGATTTGTACACAAAATTAAATATTACTTTCATTTACAGTTACAAATCCTTCCAAAAACAAGTTTAAAAAAAAAAAACCAAGAAATTGTCGTTATCATAATTGCATAATATATTTATTTCAAATGTTTCCCCGTTACGTCACAATGAATGCCACAAATGTTTTTAATAATTAGAAAGTACGTACTTAAAAGCACAAGGGATAGAATCGTTCAGTTATAAATTTGACATTTCTTTGTATCAAAGCTTTCAAAATAATTTTCAAATAATTTTCAAATAAATAAATAAATTGTTTTTAAGTTATTTTTAATTGGTAAATAATTATCCATTTTTGTTTTAATAAACATCATAAAATATATATATTTATGTGTACTACCTTAATTTTAATTATATATTAAATACATCAAAAGTTCGTACGCTGATATCTTGTTCAAAAATTTCGAAAAAAATTTATAAATACGCCGAATATTTATATTATATACATTTTTTGAAAAATATTTATAGAATTACTTAAATTGTTCATAAAATTTTGTATTTATACACCAGTTTTCCTCATATTTTTTAATATTAAAAATATTAAAGAATGTCATCTAGCGTCTCGTCAAAAACATCTTCATTTCATCAACATATTCATTATGATAAAAAAAGTAAATTAAAATCATTGATAAGCCTTAATGGAATCATTCCACCTCCTACAAATAATTTACAATTAGAATTAGTGGAACCAATTTTATTCCTCAGAGGAATTCCACAAGAATCTGTAGGTTGTTTCTTAAGAGGTAAATTGATCTTAAATTTGAATAAACCTACAAAAATAAAGAAAATCGAAATGAAGTTTGTTGGGAAAATAAAAACTTATTGGCCTGAAGGAAAAATTTATGTTGGTATGTTTTGTTCTTTCTTTTTAATATTCCTTTTATAATTTTATTATTAATAACTTATTATTAACATATTACTTACACTCGGTTATTTATTAGGTTCAAGTTCTAATAACTTATGTGAAGAACTCGAAGTCATATCTCACCATTGGACATTTTTAACATCTTCAAGCGGATCCAATTCAAGAATTTTTAACAATTCATTTCAATTATTGAATGCTGGTACACATGTTTACGATTTCGAATTGTACATACCCGGAGATTTACCCGAAACAATAAAAGCTGATCGTGGTAGAGTTACCTATAAAATTACTGCGCGTGCTATACGTCCAGGATTACAATTGAATCTTAATGTATCACGTAATGTTACTATAATACGAACAATATTTGATGAAAGAAATGCTGAAGGAATAATTTATACGAGCAATTGGAGAAAAATGTTAGGCTATGAAATAAATATATCAAAGAAAGCTTATCTACTCGGTGAATTAATGCAAGTTTATTTAAAATTTAAACCTAGAGTTCAAGATATATCCGTTTTTGGTGCTCAACTAAAAATAATTGAAGAATCTACTTATAAATCTAATGGTCAAAAAGTTACTGAATCCCAATCTTTTGATGTATATCAATTTCGAACTGACGACCCTGAAATTCCTATAGATTTTGACGAAGATGGAAATATTTACTATAATATCACTCCTCAAATACCAGAATGTACCGGTCCAATTCATTATTCATGTAAATCTTCTGGAATAATTATATCACATAAATTGAAATTTACTTTCACAGTAATGGCTCCAATTATTGGTAGTTCTAAGAGTAAAAAGAATAGATTTGAAGTGGAAATACCAATTACTATACTTTCATGTATATGTGTTGATGATTTACCAACTTATGATGAAGGTGAATTTCAATTTAACGATTATAATAATTTTAGTAATTTTAGTAATCAACAAAATCAATTTTTTATGGATTTACCACCAAATTATGAAAAATCTACTTGTATAATTAATGAGACCGCTTAACATTTATAGTGATCTCTCTTAAGCATATCTTAATTTTTAATTTTTTATACGGTATAACGATATAACGATATAACGATATATAGTTAAAAAGTATTTACGTACATTGTAATATATACAATGTTTATACATATGTATTCTTATCAAAAAAAAAACATGTTAATATTAATAAATAAGTAAATACTATATATCAGATATATAGATATTAATATTTCATTTTATTATTAACGTTAACATTACGTTTATCGTTATTGTTATAAGTATTGTTATAAGTATTGTTATAAGTTTTGTATTAACTGTTAACGTTAATTATGACAAATTAGTTAATTATGACAAATTAGTTAATTATGACAAATTAGTTAATTATGACAAATTAGTTAGTTTCGACAATTTTTTGACCAATCCGGGATCTACCCGATAAAAAAGATTTCACACATCTGATCATATCTGGTATATCTATATATCTGATGAATTATTATTTGAAACCAAAAAAAAAACTCTGACCATGACAACCTTTAAATTATCTAATCTTTACTTAACCAAAGGCTTAACCAATCGAATTAATAAATCATCTTTATCTCATCTAACTTTATTTCCTAACAAAATTCTTTTCAATATAGCTTGCGTTTATCAGAAAAATTTATCTACACTTCCTTCATCCAAATCTCAAAAGTCAAAGAAATATTTAGTATTTGATAATAAAACTTCCTTTAAGGATTTCCTAAAAATATCTTCAAAGGCACAAAATGATTTATATAAAAAAGATGATGATAATAATGAATTAATAGGAATAGGAATTCCTTATTTAAATAATGATATTAAAACATTAGGAATAAATACAAAATATTTTATAGAAGTTTATGGATGTCAGATGAACGTTAATGATACTGAAATTTTAATTTCAATAATGAATTCTTCTGGATATCAAAAAACTGATCATTTAGAAGATGCTGATATTATATTTTTAGTTACGGTAGTAACAAACAAAAAAAAGTTCTTTTCTAAAATGAATCTTTTTTTTAAACTTATTTTCCTGACTTAGTTTATTTATTAGTGTGCTATTAGGGATAAGGCTGAAAATAAAATTTGGCATCGGTTAAATGTATTAAAAAATATGAAAAAAGGTAAAAGACCGTTAATTGGTGTGTTGGGTGTAAGTTCTTATTCTCTTACTAAAAATAATAGTATCTCTTTTTTTATAATAATATTTTTTATAATAATATTTTCTCTCTTATTATTATCATTTATTCTTATCATTTATTCTTATCATTTATTCTTATCATTTATTCTTATCATTTATTCTTATCATTTATT